TTTTGAAATGGTTTTCTTAAAAACTAATTTCCACACATTTTTTCATGAGCTGAAAACTATCGTGTTTGATTTCTGAGAAACCTTCCTCTCAATGTTTACCTATGAAATTTCGATATATAGTGCGTTGGATAGAGAACTTTATCGACTATTCAAATCACTATTGGGATTCTATTTAAACATTAGGTATCCTAGAAAAAATTAATAATACGTTGCTTTTATATTTTTTACTATGAAAGCAATAGCTTCTATCTTTAGTTACGTTTGATGCTTGAAAATATATTGAAATATGTTGGAATCACATTTTTCCCTTTTTACTAATTATATATACTTACTAGGAAAAGTATCTAAGTGTGACGATCTGTTTTGAATCTAGTATTTCTTTCAGAAATAAGAAAGGTAAGGTCGAATTCAAAAACTGATGTATTCATTGTTCAATAATGAACACCGTTGAGGAAGATATAAAATAATAATCATATAGATTCGTTGTTATTTATGAGCAAAATCTTAGAACTTTAAATTTATATTCCGATTTCTCCTACCGCCTTTGAAATTTCTTTTTTAACGGAAGTGAAACATCATGATTTTTTTCTTATCTTTCTATTAGCTTCATTAAAGTTCAAAAATGGCATTTTGTTGTCTACAAGAACTCTAATGTTCTTTATGAACAATAGTTCCAACAGTTCATCTAAAACAAGTGAATACATGAAAATTCGATAAAAGAAAAAACAAATTTCAATTATGTTACATTTACTGATTCGTGCGCTATTGATGTCTACACTCTGTCAAATTTCAGAGCATGTATGCAGATCGACTATGAAATTAAGCAAAAGTTTATGATTATCATCTAATGAAAGTAATTTGATCGATTTCTAGCTTCGTGTTTGAGAAAAAGAATCATGTTCTTCCAAAAGTTTCTAATTGCTCCTTTAAATAAATTTCGTTTTAACTCAAGCGGGAATAACTCACAACAGAAATTTCTCAAATATGTCTCTGAGATGCTACCTATGGTTCATATATTTCTTAAGTCAAGTATTCAATGAAAATATAAGGTATTGAGATTTCTCGATAAAGTTATTACCGTAAAAAAAAGTTCCAGTAACCCTTGTCACTCTTCTATTTTCTATTCACTCAAGTTTTTCGAAAACTGAAAAACTTGATCTCTACGATTAAAATTCTTTTTATAATTGCCTTTCTCACTCTTCTCTCCTCTGAAAACCTGCATCATAAAAAATATTTTTCATCTTTATCTTGCAAGTTATCTTAGTGTTATATTAATTCATCACTAGTCTCTAGTTCATTCGGTACAATAATCGTTTGCAAAAAAAAAAACAAAAAACCACATCACAAAAAGGAATGATCATTTGTTTATGGTCAGCAAAAAATGGACGAAAAATATTTCTTAATATGCTATGCAAATAAGGCATATGCATTTATTTTCTTTTCAATAAACATCTTCAACATTAATCTAACTATTCATCATTGCATATTGTTAAGTAGTTGATTGATTTTTATTATTACTTGATAGTTTATCATCAGCTAAATCACAAGTATCTAATTAGAAAAGTGAACAAAAACGAATGACATCTCATTACATTCATGGCTCAAATTTGGTTCTTTCTTAAAACCATTCATTTTAACAATGGATGTAATGTAAATTCCAGCATGATGAGATCTGGATGACGTTTCATTAAGATTTACTCTGTTGATCTTCAACCATTAAGTAAATCTTCTTTTCACATAAAATATAGTTATTTGAGTATAAGATTTTGAATCATTATTGCGTAATAATTGTTAAAATATGATGAAAACTTTTATAGACTTTCATGCATTTTAGTCGAACAAATAAATCAAGACTACTTTGATGAGAAAATTCAAACAATGATATTCAATATTGAATAATATTCATCTAATTTAACAAAAAAATAGGTCTTTGATAAACTTCGTTTTATCTTCAAGAAACAGATCTTTCCATCTAGATTCTTATTGAATTATACTCAGACCAATAACTTAGTACTAGAAAAATGAAGGAGTAGTCTATAATTAGTTCGACACAAAATATATACTTTGCCATTGTTAAAAATATAATTTCGTAGAACTAATTCCGTATTAGGATTACATTCAATAGTTGACATTATCTATTGAATATTTACATAGCATTATTAGTCAAACTAAATATACAAGAAAACTGATCACTGCCAATTGAGATTTTATTTTGTTTGTTGATCAACATTATGTTCGAATATTTACTTGTTCTTGTGTATGGCTATGATAAATATTTGTGTGACCTTTAAAATTGATTGAAACCAACGGTTGTGAGAAACATAGAAATCGTCAAAAATAAAACAGCGAATTTTATTGATTAGGTTTTTTCTTTCCTTCGTTTTTGACATGATCCTCAAAATTTGTTATTATTTATTGCCATAATCTCAGGAAACGAAAGCCAGAAAATACTCATTTAAATGTGAGAATGAAATCTCATGATCGAATCGATAGCAGCCGCCTTCTTGCAGAAAGTTATCAAAAAAGAAAAGGTTTCGTGGACTTTGTTTCTTTCCGAGATTCAAGATGATGAAAACGATGATAGCAACACCATTTAACTGTCACTTGCTTTGCTTATGGCTAAAGCAGCTGTGAATACGAACGATGATCGATAATAAATCAGGGAGAAATCAAACGATCAATCGAAAGTATTTATTTAAACCATGTTGATTACGTCACAGTTTCTTTCTAATTTCAATCGTCTGATTGATAGAAACGTAACTTTCCAGAATTACAATGACAAAAAAGAAGGTATGATACCAGTCTAGTATAGCTATCTTTTGAAGAAAATCGCTTCATCTGCTACCCTCTCAATGATTGTTCATATTTTAGAAAACGTTGACTTATTCATCAATTGACATGGGAAACTTGACACCGTATTTTGCAATCGAATAAAAAACGAATACCAGCTAGTTTTCTTAGTTTGTCTTTTAGTATGATCCGTCAAAGTAACTGTTTATAAAATGATATCAATAGATATAGGTAATTGAAATTCAAGCTACTTTGAAAGAGGTTTTGCATCATGATATTTATATTTGAAGAAAATTCTACATTTTTGTATTCTAGTCAAAGATAATACATTTGACACGTTTTTTCGACTTACTATTACCAGTAAGAACTTGACAGTAACATTGATCATAAAGAAAAATGTTTTTCGCAAAATTATGACTGATCGTAGTTAGTACACATTGTGAAAGTCAGACAGTTTATGAATTGATATGAACTATTTGGAACTGCAATTCGCAACAATTTAAAAAAAAATATCTATTATTTTCCAGAGCTGGTGTTTCTGACACTTATTCGACTTAGTAACTAGTCAAAATTATGGTTACCGCTTCGCCCATAGTGTAATGGTATGATATTACGATTGAAGTTTATGATACTTCTGTTCGTTGGAATTTCCTACCTAATAATAGCAGTCAGATAATGTCACTTGATTATATCACCATTATCTTAAGGATCCCCTCAGGAAACTCGATCATAAAAATAGTTTTGATTCTCGAAGGTTTACAATGGTTTCATGAATAATGTTTGAAACTATCTGGACAAATAATGATAGTTAGAGCAATCACAAGAACATTTTTTTCTTGTAGAGTTAGACCTGCAAAATAAACAAATATTTTTAGAGATCATCAAATTTTGCGTATCATAGAGATACTTCTGACATCTATAATGACATAGGGATGTGTGTAAAGATCTTCTTACTACCCATATGTATATCGTCAAAGTAGATATTTTGTATAAAATAACACATTATGTTTCTAATCACATACTAGTAAACATTAACCATCATTATCAGTCTAAAAAAAACTGTAAAGCAAAAATTGAATTACAAAAGTAAATTTTTTTATTCTTCTGTTTTTATTATATTGTTTAGTGATATAAAAGAAAATATGTAAGCAATCGTAGATAGCATCATCTATTGTGATTTCCGTAGAAAAGTACTTCGATTGGTATGTAATATATTTATGCTTTGCCTTCATTTTAAGTAATAATATGTAACTATGTACAAAACAATTTCTTATGAATACTACTTCACTCTAGAGATCTGTATTTTTTTACCGATAGATACATTTATAGTCTGTCAGATGAGGGATACGAATTTTCTAATTAATCTTTTATGCTAGATAAAACGTGGTTTTTTCAAAAAGCCATGTCCAAAAATTCCAGTTTTTGAAGTTTCGATGACCGGATCAATGAAACAGAGTAAAAAAAAAAAGTCTTTCCATCATCCGAAGTGGTAAGAAATTCTTGAACGGTAAGGTATGAAGGCATGACATTTTTACTAATAATATACTTCTGTGAACCGAAAACATAGACTAAGCTTCATTAATATACCATATATCCCGTCGAAGTTAGATTTTCGAGAGAGGATCCCTTACTATTCAATGTTAAACAATATCTATATATAAATAAGATACACGAGTTAAATTAACTATGCGAAATGCATGATCACTCGATGTAAATAATATTTTAATATATCCTGAACTGCAAATTAATATTCGACATATGCATAAGTTTATTAATCAAATAAGTAAACCAATATTGCTAACTGTTTAGCTCCAACTCGTTTGAGGAAAATAATAATATCCCCATTTTCCATTAGGGTCAAAGTATAGCTTTATCAGAAGCAGACGGAATTTGCATGCTTTAACCACAATTTGGCTATTATTTCACTAGTGACCTTTTTGAAGGTACATAAAGACAAGGTTTCCATATTTATTATTTGTCAATATTCATTCATTCGTCGTTCCAATAATTGATTATGTGTTTACACATAAAATTGTGTTTTGTTTTTCTTTCTATCATTAACCTCGTACTTCTAGTTACGTCAAGGATGATGATTGTAGGAAAAAAAAGAAATAGAACAACAAAAAAGAAAATAAACTGTACATGTGGATTTCAAAAAAAGAAAAAGAAAAAGACGCGCTCACGCATATAGTTCAATAAATAAAAACACTTTAAATTTCCATCAAATCTTTCATATCAGTTTGTTTCTGTTGCTGTATTATTCGAATATTCGTTTGAATATTTTCAAGTTTAGTCTTTACACTAGGATCTAAATTTGGTGTCTCATGAACAATAGTTGCTAAATCAATAAACGATGGTAAAACAGTTTTTGTTAATAAATTATTAAGTTGTCTGGTTTGATTTTTATGTTCTTCAATTTTACTTTCAATAATATCCATTCGTTTTAATACTGTTTTAGTTAAATCAAATATCATTGATTTAATTTCAGATAAATCATTTGATGATGTAGCAACTATTGTATCATCATTAGATACTGATCTTTCATTGATAGTTTGAAGTAATGTATCTAATTCACCAATATTGTTTTCAGATGATATTAATGGATCAAAATATGTTGGAATTTGACTTGTTGGTTGTGATTTAACTTGTTGAATAGGTTTAGGAATAATTATTGATGATGTATTTGGTTCTGAATGAGTATATGATGATACTATAGGATTAGAATCTCGGTTTTTTTCATCAAATTTATTGATTAAATCGGATTCGATTTCGATTGTTTTTGATGAAATTTCATCATTGATTATTAATGGAATTGAGGAAACGTTTGTATTTGTTAATTCTGTATCACTATTATTTGTTGTAGCAGCAGTTTTACTGGAAGCTTTGAATGTGTCTTTAAGAAGCGCATCGAGTTGTTCTAAACTACCCAATATCTAATAAGAAAAAAATGAATTGGATATAAAACAAAAATATATTTAAATAATTTTTGTTTACAGGTTGCTGAGGAGTCGCTAATGTATCTGACGGAATAGAAGGTTGCAGTGTTTCATTTATATATGCAGAAGATGTTGATAGGAGACTATTTTCAATAGTCTCCGTTGGTACTAGTGCTGTCGTCAAAGAAGAAGTTATTGGTTGCTTTATAGTATCATTTGGTAAGATTGTAGTGATAAGATGTTGAGCAGGAGGTGCTGTTGAATAAGAAAAACTGTGTGACGGTTGAGTTAGAAGAAGAGGATTTTGTAACATTTGTTGTTGGGAAGTAGTTAACATTGTCGTTGGTTGAGATTGAGTCTGTAATGTTGATGGTGTCGATAGATGAAAAATATCTAGGAGAAATAGTTAATGGTCAATAGATATTAAATGACATTTTATTTACTTACTTGTAGTCAATTCAACAGGCAATGGTACTACAGATTCATCGATTTGTTGTTGATCAACAACAGCAGTATCACTTCCCAGTCTTAAAACCGATGAATCATCTTGATTAGCCAATGATATTATTTGCTCACTAATGTCATTGGTAATCGCTGATGTAGTATTTGTATTTGGAGACGTATTACTTTTCGTAAAGGTTTTTTTTAATGCTTCATTAAGTATTTCAAGACTACCAGCTGAACCAGATACACTTGTTCCATGTTCAGGTAGCTGTGGAATTGCTATTGGTTCTGTTACTCCAACTGATTTAGTTGATGAGATTTCTGATAATGGTTTAACCATCTGCTGTTGTTGTTGTTGCTGTTGTACTTCCATCGGTGGTTGTTGAATTACTGGAAGTGTTGATGGCATAGAAGGAAGTGATACTTGAGGTTGTGCTAATAATGGAGGTCCCGATTGTTGTTGTGTTGGTGGTACTTGCTGTTGTTGCTGAAGGAATGCAACTTGTTGTTGTGATAATGGCAAAACTTGTTGCTGAGGTGTTGGTATTTGTTGTTGTTGTTGTCCAGTAAACGATGATTGTGATGTTTGACTAATAGTAGGTTTTCCATCTGGACCAAAAACTCCAGCTTGTCGATCAATTAGTTCATATTGATAAGCTCGAACTCGATCTTTAATTGATTGTATAACAAATTTTTTATCTTCATCAAATATATAATTTGTTTTAATAAGTTCATCAGCTATTTGTTCAGGTGTATCAGTTGTTAAATTATATCGAAAAAGTAGAGCTTCATGTTCTGTCCATAATGATTTACGTTTTGTTTTATCAACAACTTTTAATTTTAAATTAATTGAATTATTTGTAACCATAACTTGTGAATGATTAGTTGGATCACGTACAAAATCAATACGTAATCCATTATTATCAAGAAAAAATGAATGTTGTAATAATTCATGTACAGGTAAACGTTCTTCTTTCTTTGTACGTATACAACAATCAATCACTTCTCGTACATCTTCACTTTCAACTTTATAATAACAATCCGGTTTTAAGCCAGCTGTAACACGTTTTATAACAGCTGTTGGTCCTTTACATTCAATATATGGATATTCACCTGTCATCATTTCTAACATACATAAACCAAATGAATATATATCAACAAGTTCATCATATTTTTCATCAAACATTTCTGGTGCCATAAATTCCATAGTACCACGCATACTTTTAGCAAATGTTTGAGTTTTAAATGTGGCTAAACCCAGATCACCGATTTTAACACTTCCAGTTGTACTCGATACAAATATATTATCACATTTTAAATCACGATGTATAACAGGAGGATTACGACTATGTAAATAAGCAAGACCTTTAAGAATTTGACGACACCATTTTTTCATTACATTAATACGTTTTTCTTCTTTTTGTCCTTTAAATTTACGTATATATCTTTAAATAAACAATAATAAATAAATTTTATTTGGAACTATGTTTTTTTTTTCTGTATCTTACCCTTTTAAAGAACCAGATGTCATTAATTCTGTAACAAGAATAATAACTTTTTTATTTGTTCTTGGATTTGTTTCTTCCCAAAAATCAAAAAATCGTACTATATTTGGATGTTGTAATTTTTTTAACATTTCAGCCTCTTCTTTAAAACGTGCTCGTTCATGTTTATCAAATTGTGCAAAATCCTATTCAATTAATAAAATTATATTTAAAGCAAAGAGAAAAAAAAAGAAAATTTCTTCATCTTACTTGTAATTCACACCAAGCAACAGCAACACTTGTTTCAGTATCTAAACCACGATAAACTGTTTTAAATGCACCACGACCAATTTCTTTTGCATATTTGATAAAACGATTATCGGGACTTTTAGCAACTGCTTCTTCTTCTTCATCATCCTACGGTAAAAGAAAAATTATAAATCATTGCCTTAGGTCTTTTCATATGCTGGCTTTTTACACTAATAAACTTCTTATACAAAAAACTTTTTTTATTCATGCAGACTATAGAGAATATTGAATTGCCCGGAAAACAAGAACTTTTCTATTTTAAAGCGTTTGTTTTTGAAGAACATATGGTTATTTTAATGCATCCAAGAAATATATATTAATATTTCAAGTATCCGTAAAAAGACATAAAAACTCATATCTTGTACCAATAAATAATAGGTTGACTCGACTTAGACACATATTCAACATATTAGACCATTATATATTAGCCTTAGAAAAATAGCAGAGATGTATCATCTCATTAGTAAGCTTTTTAATTGAATTTTGCATATAGTTCGTGTGAACGTGTCCAATATTTCCATTATTATCAATTTCCATATTTGACAATATAGAGTTTCATATACGCTTTCATCAGCGTCATATCCTATCCTTCTTTGGCTGATGACGTGTTTCTTTTCATTCAGTCTTTTGATTTTTGATGTGCTGTACCAATACCTTTATTATATTTTTCCTTCTGGTATCTATTTCTGAGCATTGATTGTCACACTGTTGTCCGAGGTCAAGCTATTTCTCAACACAAGAAAATGAAGAGGATATGATGCTAATTCTAGCGTATGTGATAGTCTATACTATCAAATATGCAAATTGATAATAGAGATCGATTGGACACGTTCACACGAGCTATATATAAAATTCAATTATAAGACTTAACATTGAGAACATACATCAGTTCTATCTTTTCTGAGACTAACATATAAAAAACTAATATTTAGAGGGTATGTGTTTAGGTCGAGTCGACTTACTTTTTGATAGAGAATACGACTGTTCGCAGAATCAACTCAACAAGCCAAATCGAGTACTGATGATATCAGTTACCGATTTGGCTAATGCTTGCGTCTTTTCCAGATATTCCGACATTTCAATGTGAATATGCTGTGAATAGATCCAAAATAGTTTTGGCAAAAATATTTGATAATTTGAAAACTCAACTTTCTAGAAAAACCTAAGAAAAAAATCTCTTATGGGCATATTTAACATCAGCATGACCGATAACTCCGAATTGAGTGGCTTTTCGTGAGAAAGCGATTGCCTAGTTATAAACGTTTCTTCGTTAGTATAGTATTGAAGTTTTGAGTAATGACGATTTAGCTTTTTTCAAATCTTACACAAAAGAAAAAAATTTTAGATGAAAACAAATCAAGTACTAACCTCTCCTTGTGCTGAAGCTGTTGATGAATGTGGAGTTGTAAGTGGTACTGTAACTGCTGTAACTGTTAGATTAGGTGATTTTTCATCATCGGCAGCTGAATCTTGTTTTTCATGTGACGTAGCTTGAAAACAGACATGATTATGTCCACTTTCAACACTAATAGATGTTGAAATAGTACCATTAACTGTATGATTTGTATTCATTACTGGATTTTCTATATCAGTTGTTGGTGTATTTGTATGTTGTCTTTCAATAGAGGATGATTTTGATGATAAATTTGAACTTTTATTTGATACAGAATAATCATCATTATTTGAAGATTTAGCTGCAACTGTATTGGCTAACATAATTTGTGGTTGTTGAGATTTACGTATTGATTTAACTTGAAATCGATTAACTTTTTTTACAGATGATTGATTTGTTGATACAGTCATTTTTGGATTCAATGATGTTGATTCATTTGTTGCCGTTAATTTCGATTCAAGATTATCTAATGGATGATAATAATCATATTTTTGTTTTTTATCCTTATCAATTGTTGTTGCTGCTGGTAAACGGTCGAATCGTTTAACTAATGATAATTTTGTTCTTCGTTCATTGTGTCCGTTTGTGATTAAATTTGATTCTTTATTTTCATTTTCATCAGAACTTGATTGTTGTTGTTCATCTTTACAATTATTGTTTTCATATTTTTGTTGTAGCGATGCAATACTTGTTCGATGTGTTTTTTGTAAACGACGTGGCTTTTTCGTAGTTTTATTAGGGCTATTATCAGATTCATCAGCATCAGCATCTATTGATGATAATACAGGATAAAATTTTGGCGAGTTTTCATCTTCCTCTGAATTATTGGATTGTGTTACAGCTGAATGATGATCGGTTGTCATTGCTTTGATTACAGTATGAGCAAGTACATGATTGATACGAGGATGCAAAGGTGATTTCGATTCGTCATGGGGCTGAAAACAGAACGAAAAGGCAAATACTTTAATAGAGTGACAGACATGAAAAATATTATAAACAAGCACATGTAATGATAGCAATTATAGACTTATGATTAACGGAAATTCCTAGTCGTCATTTACTTTATTGTATTTTTTTAACTCCTTTCGTTTGACCTTGAGACGAAATATACATGATCACTCTTGATTCGATCCAAGTCAAAACCTGACGACTTGTCGGGATCATGAGAAACAGATATTGTTCGAACCGGAAATCGGGAGTACAATTACATCCTGTGTTTTTCTGAGCGGATTCTCTCATTAATCATCTTGATCAAAGCCACATGCAAAAGAAATGCCCTCAAAAGTGATATTCATCACTTGAATAGATCAAAGAGTATTGATGATTTTTTCTTAGGTCTAATATGAATAAATTAAAAAATATTTTCCTCTAGATTAATACCGAAATCGAAATTCTAGCTCAGAAACTATGAAAATATGTTCAATCAAATTGTTTTTTTAAATGAAAACTAAAAACTACCTTTTGTTCATTGTGAGCATATTGTGATGATTTATTTATTTCTTCTGATGAAGCTGGAGCAATAGCATGAAAGACATGTGGTGGTGATGTCGAACGTTCATCAGATTGATGATTATGCGTTGGCTCATTTGAGCAGTTAGTTCTTAGTTTTGAATGAAAAAAATTATTTAATTGTAATGTCCGTTTTTTAAAATGGTTAGTAAAACCATTTGTCGTTGAATTATTTTGTAAAAAATTTGTTGTACTAAATGGTTTTTTAACATGTATTCGACTTTGTTTTTTATCATTATCATTTGTTGCCATGCTATGTGCACTATTACTACTTGAAAATCTTGACTTAATATTTTGTATTGATGACTTAGTCGTCATTAATAAATAAAAAGTAAAGTAAACAATAGAAATCGAAACAAGCTCAAATATTTTCTTTGATTTATCAAAGAAAAATCATAAGAAATTATTTATGTCGTATCTACAAAAAAAAAATTCATAAGCAAAACAACATGCCACCGAATTTATTACAAATTCTAAATAAATATAAACACAGACAGAAAAAAAAAGGTGTACACAGACAAGCAAATAAACATGAAACGTGGCTTTTACTCACGAATATTCATAAATGAAAATGAACCATGAAATAATTTTTGTAAAGGCTTTTCGAGGGGAAGAAAACTCTTATCCTTTTATGTAGGAACATATAGGTAATATCTGAGTAATAAAAATTCTCAATGCAGTTGAAATGTCGATGTAAACTATAACTATATGCGCTTTAGACTATTGCTCTTTTGTCATTAATCGATGTTTTTCTCTTTCTTTCACTTTTTTTTTGTAGGTCGCATTCTCGTAAGAAATATGTACGCATGGTATTGTTGTTTTTGTATAAATGACAAAACATCGATTTAGACGATAAAGAAAAAAAAAACTAAATTGCGTACACTCGATAGTGCAACTTTGAATTGTAATTTATTAATAATAGGTGTCTTACACTATTTTCTTTGGCATTTTCGGTTTACTTTAAAATGTCATTGTACCGGGGGTCAAAGGAGAAATATTAGACATTTGTCTCGCCCTCCTAATGTTTTGACTATAATTTGTACGAATAAATCATATTGAATAATAAATAACAAGATATACTCTATTCCTAATCAGTGATGTATGCATCATTAAAGATCGAAATAGAAATTATCCAATTGGATAGAGTGTTTCAGAGAGGCCGCTATCTAGCATTCATCTGTTCCATGTGTGGAAACTTGTTTCTACGCTATCTCTCGAGATTGAGTTTCATCTCCGATGCACAAAAAGAAAATAGGTCACGTACGCGCCTTTCTCGTTTCTTCTTTCTTCGTTCTGAATCGTTCTTTGAATTCAACTGAATTGAAAAACAACAGCTGCCATTGATATTCTCATAATCATAGATATTCATAAACGTACAATTTCTATTTATCGTGATTGTTTTTTTTTTGTCACAAATGGTCATTATAAACCGCCCTCGCTATTCTATCGGTGACAAGTATCTAAAAACTGAATAAAACTGATGCACTCACTTTTTTTACATGATGATACATCTCTTATGCTTCTTTCTCATCCATCGATAATGACTGAATTTCAACGTAACATATTCTTATAACTAATAATCGTTGATAATACATTACGTTTCACATGGTATTTCTTTAATAATAAAAGATGCGAAACAATATGGAAAAACAATCAGCCGAACTAAACAATAACTTTTGACTCTCTAGGTTACGATCAAGATAACCTCCTCAGCATAGTGATATCTTAAAATAGAAATTTCTTTTGATATGAAATTAGTTATGTTAAAAGCTCAGTTTAAAATAAAACTGTGCCAAAAATAACAATAATTGGTAATCCTATCTCTTTCTATTATCCGACGTATTCTATTTTCTCACTGTTTGTTTTGTCATCTAAAAACTAACAAAAAAAAAAAATAAAGAAAACTTTTTTATACGTATCTATTCAAATACCACATTGATTATACTTTAAAGTAAAAATAAAATAAAAATAAATATTTTTAAAGAAGTAAAGATATTATTAATACACACGCGTTCTATATTTAGGTTTTCCTTGGTCAATATTCTTATCTCCTTAGATGGGTATATTTATAAAAAATATCATCTGTAATTTATGATGTCCTTAAAATAGTCAATATTTGCATAAAAACGAAACTCTTTCTTTTTATTTTGTGTCTGAAAGCACATTGTAAAATATATCACAGTTAAATGAGAGATAGTAATCTACCTGTAAAAAACGAAGAAATATTGTTTGAAGTGTATACTATTGGTGGAAAACAAAAAGAAGAAATAAATTTAATCAGAATCGGCAGATAGTCAAAATGACAACATGCAAGAAACGCATTTTGTTCTTCTATTCTATAGTTTTTCTTCATCATTCATGATGTCTACATTTGAAATCTCATCATAATTCAGTCAAATACATATACTCAAACGATAATGAATATGTAATCGACATAATCAATGAACATTGTTAATGGATGAGTGTGTGTGTGTGTACTATAAAAAAAACATGTTTTAATTATTTTGGAAATTACGTACTGGTTAGCTCGAATAGATGTTTTCTATGAATCAGTCGAATGATTAGATTAGGACTAGGATATATATATCTTAGAGAAAGAAAGAAAAAAGAATATTTCTTTATGTCTTCCATCCATGTTACACTCATATATATATATCTCAGTATCACAACCATTAGTTGACATTGAGTTTTGTTTTTGTCGTCATTGACGTACGTCTAGACTGATTGAGAAAATATGTAGAAAAGAAAAGAAAAGAAAAATAGTTTATAAGATAAGTGATGTTCTCGAAATGGATTAACTTACAGTTATCTGCTATTCATCAAATGATTACTATTCAACATTGCACGATTTCAAAATAAATAAAACAAATTTTTTCTCTCTCATAAAATAAACTAATCGTACGTCTTGAATCAATAATAGAAAAAAAAAACACTTTTCTGTACTATAATCTTGCAATCATGTCTAGTCTTTGATGTTTCTATTAGGAAACTTATATATATGTTAAGTACATTGCATTATTTACGTGTCTAATTTCTTCTTTTTCTTTTATATTCGCCCTCACATAGTAATTTTCAGCATCTGCTGAAATTTAATTATCGATATGCGTATTCTTTGTCATTCATATGAAAATACAGAAAAAAAACACTTAATGTAAAAATGAATATGCTTTTGTATTCATTGGATTCAAGTTGAAGCACATCTATTATATAAGTGCAAAATACAGTTACTGATGATCGATTTCTTTTTTATGTACGTGCTTATTTGGGTCAAAATGCTCCAGAAAAATAAAAAAATACAACTTGCTGACAACAATTATTTACCCTGTACTGTTGTTGTAAAGAATATAACCATATTAAGCACTATGTTTTTCTCTTCCTTACCATTGATGACGTCTATAGTATGTGTATATATGTTATAACACATATAACCCTTGCTGCCTGTCTGTATATATTTGCATTATAAAACAACCTTGGCAGTAGTCCAACTGCGCACGATTGATCAAGTTTTAGGTTCCTTCTATAGTGTACGCATCAGAATGATGATAAATAAATTATATCTCGATGCAGTCGACCTTTCTTAGAGATCGAAACATAAAAATTAGTTTTGCAGATGCCAATACAGATAACACAACAAAATAGACATCATCAAGACCTTATCGTATGTTTTTTTTTGTTCGCAGTCACGGAACTAAGACATCATTATATATATTATGATATTCTCACAACTTATGAATAACCAATAGTCAATATGTTTGATAATAATTTTAAATATTTAATAAGAGTACTTTTGAATTTTTTATCATTGATGATACTTGAGATGATGCATTCAAGTGATCCGCCATTTTATTTAAAGTAGTCTTCTTTTTTTTTTCTTGTTGACAACTAAAAGCAATAGTTGCTCGATTGCTTTGCCTATAGAAAATATACAAAAAAAAACCATAATTAAAAAAGTTATAAATACTTTTAAATGCTATAATCATGAGTCGAGCATAATTATATAATGCAGTTAAATGTAAAAAGATCATGATCAACATTGAAAATGAAATAGACATTCGATCCTCGCTTCTATTTGATATAGACAAAAATGAATTCATATAAAAATTATATTCATATTACTTTCTAGAAAAAATATAACCAAACGACGTTGATCATAATTATATGACGCCATTTTTCAGATGCGTCATGCATGTAATATCACATAATATATCTGAAATTTCAGGTGATGCATGAATATTAATATTATTACGCAAAAAAAGAAGATCATAATTTGCAACTTGCGTTCTTTTTTCAATGAAATACTATTAAAAAATGATAAATAATACAGGTGTAATGATAGTGATTGGTATAGCGTAAATATATTAGCAAATTGTCGGTTGAATCTATATTTTATTAGAAATTATTATGTTATTTATCTGATTGAGTATATAAAAAATTGATACTGATTAATGTATATTTATATGTACATTTGCAAATAGCAAATATACGAGTAGTTTAAATAAAAACTTAAATAAACTGCCTAATTTCCGCTATAGTACAATCTAAAGAAAATGATTATTTAATGAGTGTGACCAAAAAAACAGAATATATAAATAATATGTAAAATGTTCTCATCACTAGCTTAGATATAGATAATATATACGATTAAAAAATGAATAATTTGTCTTCAGTTCTATATGAAATTGATCATATTAACTCTAGAGTGTATAATTTTTCGAATTTTTGTTAAAATTTCCTTTTCAAAACATAACTCTATATAAAAGAGTTAAGAATTATGTCTCTGTTTATTCAAAATGAAAAATCCAGTTGTAACTCTTTTGGGACGTCAAATACATATATATTTATACAATTCCCGTTCCAGAACAGGTCAAATCTATTGATGCGCATAATTTATCATTGATCTGACTGGCACTAGTCTCTAATTTGGCACAAGTAACATACATATACGCTATATTAGTCTTTGAAAGATTAATAACGCTGATTATAAATGAAAAATAATGTCGTGTTTACTCAGCAAAAAAATCTCATGCTGAAAGAGTTAGACAAAATGTTTTTGCATTAAATATCCTTGAAACTATTATTATATTACAATCAATTAAATATTAATGGCTTGGAAATAATTGAATAATATTTTCAACGCTATGAATTCGTATTGTATCGATGATTCGATAACAATATCAAAACTTTCAATGAAATTTGCAGATCATATATATGATATTTACTCAAGTTCTAGACTAGAAAAAGAGCAGGTGCTGTCACAAATATCACACTTTGTATCTGTTGATAAATATTAGAAAATGATAACCTTTGTTTTTTCTTTT